TGTGGGGTGTGTGTGTATGTGTGTTTGGAAATAAATATGGCTGCAAAAGAGACCTTATGAGAATTAACTCTCCTGTACCAACTACAAGTTTGGAAGAAAGTGCTGATTTGCTTTTCCTAACTAGAAACTAGGATTAGATTAAAAAGTGATGCTAATCTTTTATTTTTTACCTCATTCATGTATGATATTATGGACTTGCAAAGGCTGCTTTCTCCCTTCTAATTCATGTTCCAGCTGGCACTACATTTGGGATTTACAATATGGGTACTGGGGATTTTACAATAGGAATGCATAACTAGGAGATTTCCTTCTTTTATCTGTTTACTTGGCTTTCATAAATCAAAGAATGAATATAGTGGGGTGGACTTTATGAAAGTTATGACTATATGCTTCTACGCAAGCCTCCAGGATAACAAGATACAGTGAAAAACGTCCCTGTTTGGAAGATATATTCAGTAATTCATGTGGACATTCCAGTTAACTTCAAACAAAGCCAAAGATTGTATATATGTTTGTCTTGGTACAGAAATATGACTTTTATTTAATTCCAAATAATGAGAGATAATTATTACTACTATGCAATTTCTGATAAAGTCATTAAAATTTATACAGGGTTCAATTTTCTGGCTTTAGCAATGGATTTTTACCAGCTATGTCTTTTGCTGGAACAATTGAGATGCAAAATTGATTTTTCTGTATGTTATAGCTTGAACAATGTTCTCATAGAAAAAGCAATTTAGTAATCAAATAGCTACAGGAATAACAACTAATTAGAGTGATGTGAGAATGGAATGAAATTCTGGGGTGATTTGATCTGTAGCATCTTCTTATCAAGTAGCATCTGAAATTAAGACTCAATATGGAATAGACAAAAGTATACCAGGAAAAAGTAGTATTTAATAAAAATATTGTGTGTTGGATGCCTTAGTTGAGCTAAATTTTCGTTATTGAGTGGAATTTATCTTTGTTCACATGACATTGCCACCTCCATTGAGTTCTGTGGTCCACTGGCACTAGAAATAAGCCCTCATGATTTTTCTTCAAGTGTGAGAGTAATTCAGAAAATTCCTAGAAAGGAGGAATTAAAATACAAATTTATTTGGTGCGAAGTCCCATGCACAGTTTTTTCATGGAATTTTTTTGGCAACTTTTTGAAGATCCCTTCATACACATGGAATTTAAAAAATGTTTTGCACTGAAATAAACTAATCTATTAATTCCATTTTCTATTAACTTTTGACATGGCCTCACACAACAAAATTGAGGTCCTGTATACTAAGCCATTTTGTCCAATGGTCACAGAGGCAGATAATGGCAGTGGCATAGTAGATTCTTGTACCACATTTCTTGTGTAACACCACAAAAGAAGTCAATTTGATCAACCATTCCCTAAGCAATTGATAATCTGACTACATTCTTTCTTAAATTCCTTTGTGCCAATTCATAACTTTTGAATGTTCTTGCAGCATTAACCTGACAGGGTAAAGAAAACAGATTTGAAAGTTTACTATGAAGAATTTTCTCTTTCAGTATCCCTCATTTCAAGTTCTACCATAGACCCGGTTCATCAATAGTCAAAAAAAGAAATTTCAGCATTCTCTCTAGAGTGCCAAGACCCTTTACTGCCACCATTCCAAAGCAAAAGAGATTATGGTGAAGAAGAATCCAGTGGGAAAAACACTGAAGACCAGAGATGGGCTGGGAAGGGAAGAGGAAAGGATATCTTTTGTATCTTTTTAGATCAATAGGTTCAAACTTCATCTTTTTTTTTCTTTCTTGATCCCAACTGTGTTTGTTCCTTTTCTTCAATTCATTTCACCAAGTGTTTACAGAACTGTGCTGTGCTAGAACCAGTTATCACCTCTGAACAAACAGAATAATATTTAGAGTGTGACTCACCCCTCGAAGTCCACTTCTTTTAGACACTACCTCCTACTCTGTAATTTTAAGCTAGAAATAACATTATGCCAGTTATTCCATGTTTGACTCCTTTGAAGATATAGAAATTAGATTATATGCTGGGAATGCATCGATGCTGAAATTTTGTTTCCTGCCTTTCAAGTCACATATCAAGTAACCCATATAAAAACTGTGGGTTCCAATCTGAAGCAAAGCTTGTAATTGAGCCATTAAACAGATATTAATTGAGAACTTATGATACGCTGAGGCCTCTTCTAAGGCTTGGTACAGAGGGATGAATAAAACAGACCTAATCTCCTGGGCTTCCAGGTTCATGGAGGAGGAAGAAAACAGTAAGCAAACAAATAATAAGCAGGATGATGATTTCAACTAGTCATAAGTATTATATAGAAACAATGGAAACGGAAATGTAATAATAAAATGGGTGGGAGTACTGGAGAGCATAACTGATCAGGAATTAGCTCTACAAAGAGGTGACATTTAAACTCTGGCCCTGAGGAGGGTGCCAACACCCAATATCCTTAGAGTAAAATAATGAGAACTTTTTAGGTGCTGACTGTAGGAACTCCATGGTTTCCTGCCCACAGAGCAAAGCCACTGTGTTCTCCACTGATGGTGACACTTTAAAAAGACGGGAAGGAATGATAGTGCAGAAAGGCAGGGCAGCTCCAGCAGACAGAAGGGACGTTGTGATTGAGTTCTGTGGTGGATTGCTCATACTTTCAAGGTTCACAGCAGTGTAACCGCACCTTAGTTCTTGGAGGAAGCAGCACACCGCAGGTGAGAGCTCTCTGTGCCTGAAGCTCCCGGTAATGGGCTAGTGGCTGTGTGAACCGGCTTGCCCAGCGCTCCCACAGTGGGAAGCTGTTTACTCTCTCTGTGGAGGACACAGTTAACATCTATAATCATTATCAGCCAGATCAACCCGTTCTAACCAACTTGGTTTCGTCCTTTTCCCCTCAACAATGGTTCAATTGCCTGGGAATGTTTTGCTTTCAAAAGAAAAATGCTTTCTTATTTAAATAAATCATTTCATGGTCAAAGGAAGCTTTGTTACTTCCTAGTCTGTTCCCGCTTTTATTCTTATTGCTCAATAAGATTGAAAAATTTGTATTTGATGCAGTCACTGTGTCAGACAGAAATGCTGACAAAAAATTTACTGTAAGTATGTTTTAACCCCTGAGTGACACAGTTGCTAGGAACTTATGTTATTATTGTATTGAGAGCTGAGCTTCCACAGATCCTAAAATTATGACTATTTGTAAAAATCAGTCATCACTGAGGACAAACCTTAAGATATGGAAGATGTGTTAAGGTGTGGTTTCTCTGTTTTAGGTGTTTACAGCTTAGTTGGAGAAAAGGCTAAAAGACACAATAGTTGCTAACACTGCTAACACACAGTGCTAACACACAGTGGAACAAAATTAAGATATATTGTGAGATAAAAACTCAAAATACTACAAAGGTTAAATGAACCAGTAGAGAAGGCAGAAGTCAGCAAGCAGTGCTTAAATTAGGAAGACAGGATATGAAGAATAGAGAGGATTTGGAGAAGAAGACAGTGAAGCTTTTCAAGGGAGGGCAATTCCCAGGATGGGCATGAACCAGAGCATTTTCCTGCAACAGGGTGGGGATATGAACACTGGAGCTCTTATGAAATGGTCAGACTGATGTTCTGTCTCACTGGTTCTGGGCACAGCAAGTTTTACCAGCTACAGATGTCTTCTGAAGAATTTGCTGAGAATGTTACTTCTATTGATTTTCTAGGCTCATCAGTGAAACTAGGCAAATTGTTGGTCTAATATTTTTTAACTTCAACAGTGTCTTGTTGACTCATGGTATGTGTGTGGATGAAATTGAGCATAAACACTGCCAGAAAGCTTCCTCTCTCAACACAAGATTATTGCCAGGTCGTAGAGACAACATCACAAATAGAGAAAAATCTCAGGATATACTAAATTCACATCCTTCTGTTGATGGCCATTTCAGAAAGAAAATAATTTTCGCCATTATCATCTATGTGATTTAGTTTTGGTGCTCTACTCTGAGAAGATCACTGAAGTCACTTTAATATCCCAGTAAAATGAAGGTTTGACAATTTTACTTCATGTTTTTTGTTTTCAACTTAAATTTTTGAAACCTGTAATCTTGCATCTATGGATCATAATTCTGCTAGTGTTTGCTCATCATGCTTATTCAGTTCCAAAGTTTGCCTTCAGTTATGGATTAACTCCCCAACAGGAAACATTTTTACAATATGAATGCATACTTTTGAACACAATGGGCTCTTTTTTCTCTTATGGCTTGAGTCACCAAGAATGAGTGCCTTTGATAATCTAGAAACCCACAACTTTGAATTAACCCTGGATCTTAAAGAGAAAATTAGCATTGCCCAGCCTCTTGGGTTAATACCCAATCAGAGGAGCAAGAATCCATTTTCAAAATATAGTGCATGTGAGTAGGACCTCTAGTGGCCACGCAAGTCCTTGTCTCCTTTTCTGAGCAAAGGACTTCAGTACCAACAAGAAACTGGACAATTAAGGGAGATCTTACTTTTCTGTGGGTTGCGGGTGTCTATACAAAGTGGAAAAGAATGATAATACATGTAGTACAGTATTATTCGATTTCATTAATGAATATTGAAATTTTATAATGATATCTGTCACATTATCACTCAATAGACACTCCTATAATGCCAGTGATGAGCCATAATTTCTACACTTTCCTCTTCTCCCCTCTTCTTCATACACAGATTCTCATGTAAACATGGATTAACTATTAATCTGGCCATAGACAGATCGGATTCAATATGACATTTTCAGGCATCTTGATTAGGATCAGAGATGAGCGGAAGCTGTATTGATTCTCTTGGAGTCTGATGCATCTGGCAGGAAGTGGGTTCTCTAATTATGATCCAAACCATGGATCAGCAATTCACAAAAAGATCCTACAATCAGGTGCAACTGCGTTTTATTACTTTAAATTGTGGACTGCATGAAATAGAATCCAAATGAATCAGAAGCATTTTTCAAGAATGTATAATAACTGGCAAATCTTTCCTCTCTCCCCCTTCTCCACAGGTTAACCTCAGAGCCACAGATGTCAGGCTCATGCGCCAGTTGCTCGTTATCAATGACAGCATCGAGTCCTTCAAATGGATGATTGAGGAGAAAGCCACCATTACCAGCCGCGGCAGCAGCCTCAGTGGCAGCCTGTGCAGTTTATTGGAGAGTCAAAGCACCTCCTTACGTGGCAGCTACAACAGTCTGCATGATGGCAGTGACGGGATGGACGGCATCTCTGTGGGGAGCTACCTGGACACTTTAGCAGATGACGTACCAGGCCATCAGACCCCTTCAGACTTGGACCAGTTTAGTGACAGCTCCATAATAGAGGACTCACAGGCACTGCACAAGCATCCCAAATTGGCTTCTGAATACTACTGCTTTGGCTAATGACCCAGTTTTCTGCATGAGACTGGTGTGCAATTAACTTGTATTTATCCTTCTTCTCTGCTGCTGTATTTTTGATGTGATTTTTTTTAATGAGGCAACCTTTTTTAAAGAAGCTTATTTTGAAACTGCTTGCTGGTATTTTTGTTGCTCCTAATATTTCTCATCTGGACTGATTTATTTTTCTCTGTTATACTTCTTTTTTATTTATTATAATAATTTTCTCCCTTCTTTTACAATGGCACAAACGAGCAGGGGGAAAAATAAGCAATAATTATGGTTTTCTGGGGTCAGGGATTACAGAAAAAAATCTTTGCTAAATTTTACAATAAATCAAAGTTCAAAAGTAATGTATTTTGTTGCTTGCTTGTGTTCTTAAATGATTAAAGATTTCATCTTCTAGAGGATATTGACTTCTATTACTGTTTTTGTGTTAGGCTGAACAAAATGCTTGAGACTAAATAAAACATGGTTCTGGGCTACAGTGTCTCAGTATATAATCAACAATACTGTTAGTTATACAGTTTTACATGCCAAACATTTGGAAAGGTCCCACTATGTGCAATCTCTGTGACTACCCTTAACTTGATGCTGCACATTAGCATTTTGTCATCAATAATTCTAGTCCAAACTGTAGATTTGTGTGATAATGGTATTATTCTTCCAAATTTTAAAGAACAGTTGAGAATATATATGAAAGTGATTGAAGACAAAAATGTCTTAAATTTAATTGTATTTTGAAATTTTCCTGACATTTGCTGTATGCATCTTGCAATTCTGATAGGATGTATAACCACATTGATGCACACATACAAGTATAGAGAGATGCAGATAGATGGAGAGAGAGAGAAAGAGAGAGAGAGAGAGAGAGAGAAGAAGGAGGAGGAGGAGATTATAGTTGGGGAGTAGAACACCTCATTAATAAAGCCCAGTATGCTATTCTTTCATGCTAGGATGCATAAATAATTTGTTAGCTTTCTGAAATGTCACTTAGAAATATTGCAACTCATAACTCATGACATGAGCAAATATTTAGTTTTGATGCGATGTTAGTAATCCTCTACATTTCTTTTGATTCCTAGTGTGAGAATCTAATTAAGATTTCAAACTCTTTGTAATGATAGACTCTTCTGCATTAATACTTTGTAATACAAATCAAAAAGCCTTCCTATTTATAAATACCTGTATTCAAGAAATTATTACCCTCAAATGACCTTAATGGCCAGGACTGGGCCAGACTGAAGCCCGGAGTCTGGAGCTTCTTCTGGGTATACCACGCAAGTACAAGAGTCCAAGAACTTAGGCCATCTTGTGCCACTTTCCCAGGTGCATTAACGGGGATCTGGACCAGAAGTGGAGCAGCCAAGTCTCAAACTGACACCCATATGGGATCCCTATGTTGCTGGCAGAGGCTTAACCTGCTGCACCACAATGCTGGCCCCTAAATTCATTATTTATAAAATATATTATTCAATTTCCAATTAAAATCTACCAGGACCTATAATTTACACATCTTTTCCCTTAAGTTGCTTGATATAGTCCTCAACACAAAAATTCCACCAAATGAGAATTTTCACCAGTCGATGTTTGAAGAAACAGAGACATAGAAAGAAGATAACTGCTACAAATCCTACAGAAAACATCAAAACTGGGATTTTAACTTGAGTATGTCTTACTCCTAACAATAATATTCAATAACCTCTTTGGTACCTATGATATTAAATATTAAAATATGGATGAAAAGGGAAATATGTGCCATGATAAAACAAAAAAAGAAAATGTAATCAACTGTATTTCCTCCCATCAGTGGTCTCCATGTTTTCCAATACTGAGCTTGCTGAGCCTGCTCTTGAAATCACATGTCCAGAGTCAGGTTTTTTATTTAAGTTTTTTAAAAATTTTATTTAAGGTATACAAGTTTCATGTATTCCTACATAGAGATTCAGGAACATAGATGATACTTTCTGCTCTACCCTCCCTCCCACTAATACTGTAACCCTCTTCCTCCTCCCTCTCCTATTCCCACTCTTAATTTTTACAAAGATTTATTTTCAGTTTACTTTATACTCATAAGGTTAACCATACACTATGTAAAGAGTTCAACAAATAGTATGAAAAAAAGAACACTATTCCTCAACAGTAGAGACAAGGGCTGTAAACAATCGTCAAATCTCAAAAATGTCAATTTCATTCCAATATATTACCTTTTAGGTACTCTATTTGTTACCCCAGATCAGGCAAAACATGGTATCTGTCTTTTTGGTACTGGCTTGTTCCACTAAGTATAATGAAGTCAATTTTATGCTTACAAGTGAATCAGGAATGGCCAGTGCAGCGGCTCACTAGGCTAATCCTCCGCCTTGCGGTGCCGGCACACCGGGTTCTAGTCCCGGTCGGGGCGCTGGATTCTGTCCAGTTGCCCATCTTCCAGGCCAGCTCTCTTCTGTTGCCAGGGAGTGCAGTGGAGGATGGTCCAAGTGCTTGGGCCCTACACCCCATGGGAGACCAGGATAAGTACCTGGCTCCTGCCATTGGATCAGCGTGGTGCGCCGGCCACAGCATGCCGGCCGTGGCGGCCATTGGAGGGTGAACCAGCGGTGAAGGAAAAGCTTTCTCTGTGTCTCTCTCTCTCACTGTCCACTCTGCCTGTCAAAAAAAAAAAAAAAAAAAAAAAACAAGTGAATCAAGAAGTGCCCACTCTTCAACCTTCCTAATTAATTGCCCCACCCCTTTCTTCATACTTTCACTATCAATCTAGTACAGATGAATTAGTTTATTGCTTTACTTGGTTTTAATCTAGAATTAAATTAAGCTATTTTTAGCACAGATAATTTACCAGAGTAAAATTCAAAAATACACACCACGATGAATCATAGAAAACATACTAAGAACCAAAACTGATGAATTACAAACAAGGTAATAAAATATGTGACCATGTCTACAGCATTTGCAAGGAAAATATCCTTAACAGAGAAGTGGACAGTCAATAAGAGTATATTTATAAAATGAAACTTCTAACTCCTTTAAAACCCAAAGTTGCCTAGGAAAATCCATGCCAATGAAAGATGGTTTCTGTTCTCAGATCACAGTCCTAGATTTTGGATTCAATAGGGGTAGTTTTTTATATCCTCTTTTTCCAAAAGGCTTCCCCTGCTATCTCTCCACCTCATAACACCTATAAATTTTCCCTCTACAGAAAGGAAATTAGAAAAGTATATAACATGGGAGAAAGGTGTAGAATAGTTTCACTTATGCATTGTATTTTAAGGAACCTATAATGAACATTGACAGAACATTTGAAAATTTTCTTAGCTTTATGAGTTTCAGTATTTTATATTTATTTAATTTTGTAAAAGATAGCAAATATAAATTGCATAATTTAAATATACAAATGGTCTTCCAAAAGTTCATGGAAGGAACCGGCACTGTGGCATAGAAGGTAAGGCCTCCACCTGCAGTGCCGGCATCCCATATGGGCCCCAGTTCTAATCCCAGCTACTCTGCTTCTGATCCAGCTCCCTCCTAATGCTCCTGGGAAAGCATCAGTGGATGGCCCAAGTTCTTGGGTCCCTTCATCCACGTGGAACACCCAGAGGAATCTCCTTGGTCCTAGCTGCTTATCAGCCCAGCTCTGCCCATTGCAGCATTTAGGGAGTGAACCAGCAGATAGAAGATTCTCACTCTCTCTCTGTTCTTTCACTTTTTCTCCCTTCTTCTCTCTCTGTATTTCTGCCTTTTAAATATATAAACAATTCTTTTAAAGATAAAAGATATAAATTTGAAAAGTTCATGGAAGATATATTAGGAAAAAATGTAAAAATTTCTGAATTTTGTTGCACCAAAACAAATTTCTCTTTGAATTTCATTCTTCTACAAAGTTTTGAAGCACCCTCCTATAAGGCAAATATATATATATATTTTTAACTTTTATTTAATGAATATAAATTTCCAAAGTACGATTTATGGATTACAATGGCTTCCCCCCCATACCGTCCCTCCCACCCACAACCCTCCCCTTTCCCACTCCCTCTCCCCTACCATTCACATCAAGATTCATTTTCGATTATCTTAATATACAGAAGATCAGCTTAGTATACCTTAAGTAAGGATTTCAACAGTTTGCTCCCACACAGAAACATAAAGTGAAAAATAATAGATGATTTTTTTAAATGATGATGAAATCAGATCAGACCTATTGTCATGTTTAATCCCAGTGAGAGTCAAGTTGGGAGTTGATAATTTCTTTTTTTTTTTTTTTTACAGAGGATCAGTTTAGTATGCATTAAGTAAAGATTTCAACAGTTTGCACCCCCATAGAAACACAAAGTGAAATATATTGTTTGAGTACTCGTTATAGCATTAAATCTCAATGCACAGCACATTAAGGACAGAGATCCTACATGAGGAGTAAGTGCACAGTGACTCCTGTTGTTGACTTTACCAATTGACACTCCTGTCTATGGCATCAGTAATCTCCCTATGCTCCAGTCATGAGTTTCCAAGGCTATGGAAGCCCTTTGAGTTCTCCAATTCTTATCTTGTTTAGACAAGGTCATAGTCAAAGTGAAAGTTCCCTCCTCCCTTCAGAGAAAGGTACCTCCCTCTTTGAAGACTGGGATCTCACTCACAGAGATCTTTTGCCAGAGTGTCTTGGCTTTCCATGCCTGAAATACTCTCATGGGCTTTTCAGCCAGATCCGAATGCCTTTAGGGCTGATTCTGAGGCCAGAGTGCTATTTAGGACATCTGCCATTCTATGAGTCTGCTGAGTATCTCACTTCCCATGTTGGATCACTCTCCCCTTTATTTATTCCATTGGTTAGTGTTAGCAGGTACTAGACTTGTTTATGTGCTCCCTTTGACTCTTAGTCCTTTCATTATGATCAATTGTGAACTGAAATTGATCACTTGGACTAGTGAGATGGCATTGGTACATGCCACCTTGATGGGATTGAATTGGAATCCCCTGGTATGTTTTTAACTCTACCATTTGGGGCAAGTCAGCTTGAGCATGTCCCAAATTATACATCTCTTCGCTCTCTTATTCCCACTCTTATGTTTAACAGGGATCACATTTCAGTTAATTTCAACACTTAAGAATAACTGTGTATTAATTTACAGAATTAAACCCAGTCATATTAAGTAGAACAGACAAAAAAACTACTAAGAGGGATAATGTATTAAGTTGTTCATTAACAGTCAGGGCTATGCTGATCAAGTCACCGTTTCCCATAGTGTCCATTTCACTTCAACAGGTTTCCTTTTTGGTGTTCAGTCAGTTGTCACCGATCAGGGAGAACATATGGTATTTGTCCCTTTGGGACTGGCTTATTTCACTCAGCATGATGTGT